GATAACTATAAAGTATGGAAAGAGAGAATTATTCCCCATTTAGGGTTAATGGATATTGATTATACTCTTTGGAAAGACAAACTACCTAATATTATCGATACCAGCACCGCAGCAAACATTGCGCTTTATGAAAAAAGGGATCAATATAATTGCCTCAGCGTGATGTTCATAAGGACTAAAATTTTCTACTGGTATACGTGGTTCCGTCGATCAGCATGACAAAGTCCAAAACTTGATATGGGTTCTAGCCCCATGACCGTTCTGTATTCGATTCAATCCTGTTTTCGTCTTGCAAACATGGCTACTTCAACTCTTTTCAGAAGGGAAGGTGCTTCTTTAAAGAATTGAGTGATTCACCTAACACTTCAAAGCCTTACAGTTGGGCTTCTTTATGGTCGGCTTGCGCTCTTACTTGGAAATGGTCTCGGTACTTCTTGGTCGTAACTATCTCAATTCGTCTCGGTTGTCGAGCCGAAGGAGCTCTCAAAAATCGAATTTGAGAAGCAGCAGGCATCGGTCCGTAGAACCTATAAAAAGGAGATGGTTGTGGCGCGAAAAGGAAAATGGGAAGTTGGGACTAATCGGAGGGGCGGCTCCTTCGTTGTGGGTAAACGGGAAACCCGACCCCTTTCTTTCTTTTGCTTTTTCTTTGATTGAAGGAAGGGCCACGTCCGAGGCAACAACGGTTCAAGCAGCCAACATTACTTGCTTCCCGAAATGAAGCGGTTCCTGATTGAACTGCCCACAGGGACTACTCCATGCTCTTTACTTTATTGGTCGATGGGGAAGAACAAAGTGAGTTTCTAGTTCGTCACACTGAGAATGGCAGACCAGTGACCAGTGAAGCCGTGGAGATCTCGAGAAAGCATGAAGCTTGAAGGCTGAACAAATAGCATTCCCTAAGGCGCGATTTTGGGGCAATCTAAGCCTGAGTGATCCCCCCATCCCCACGGGAGAGATACTGAAACTAGAAGCTTCCGAAATAAAATAAAGGTTTTATTTCTTCGAGCGATCGTGCGATACTTTTTATCTTACTCAATTTATTGTAGAAATTTTTGGATCAATTATTAGACCATGCAAACTATATATGCTAAGCTCTTTCCTTCACTTCAACTGGATAAAAAATTTGTATTTGGCTGAGATACTCAAATGAGCAATTTGAAGAAATGACTTTTAAGACGTCGTCTTGTCCCTTACCCAGGAAGCCCTGTAGGGATTGCCTGAAGCTGAAATGACAAAGCCAAGAGCGGAAGGAGGGACTTGTAAGTTCTCGCCGTCTGCATTGCATGCTTTTTCTAGGCTGGAAATGCTTTCTTCTCTTTTTACTAGCCTAGCAATCCTTACTTTGACTTATCCTATCTCCTACTTATTAGATATGATAGGGAAGGAAGAACCGATTCCCTGAAAGAAGATCTTATTTAAGCTCGACAACGGTAGAATCCATATTGAAAACCTTTCCCATAGAAAGGATAAGTTCTCTAAACTCAAGTATTCCGAAGAAACCAGTTGAAGATCTTTCTTGGCGGAACGATCTTAATAGCGCGCCTTCCCTCTTTCTCTCACTTCGAAAAGATTTAGCAATTTCTCAATCTCATTCAATCCACTTCTGATTCCATGCCTCTTGATCAATCGATTGAATGGATCGAAGTACGAAGGCTTTCACCTCTCTTCGCCGGGAACAGAACCGGGAGGCAGTTCGCTAAGTTTGAAAAGTCCAAAGAGCAGGTCCAATCAAGGTTATCTTCTTTCTTGTTTAGGAAATAGAGGAGTCAGCGGAGAGGCGTCGATGCTTTACCGGGAATAACAACTCTGTAATCAAAGAAAGATAATGGAAATGGCTCTTATCTTGTACAGGGGAAACCAAGGGAACTCTATGAAGAGGGGAATCGTTCTGTCATTTTAGTCTGGTCATACCATCAACTAATTGATGGGCTTCAGGAATAGTCGAAGCCATATAATTCTCGTATATAAAATGAGATTGGTAAGATTGATTGGGAGAGTTTCCGGAAAAAAAGAAGCGACCGTAGATCAGAAAGCGCCTTCTACACAAAACAAGGGTTTCGCTCGTTATAGGACTTGACGAACCGCATTAGGAGCAATATCATGGCATGAGAGAGACTTCCTGCTTGAACACGATTTCTATCTTTCTACTGAGGCCCTCTCTTTTGGAATTTCATCCACAAAACCAAGAACTGAGATCTATCCCGGCCCAGAAAAGTGATCGACCAGGGCCCTATTGATGAATGAAAGAAAGAGTTTTAGAACGCTTTTCTTAATCTGTTACGGATGTTGAAATATCCAGTTTGTGTTCTACTCCAGCTTTCCCGGCTTTTTCCATCTAGGTTTTTTTAACGAATATATCTGTCCATATTCATCATGTAAAGATATCAAGACCATTGATGATCAATTTGTCACTTCAGATAAGGCACTAGCAAGCACCCTTATAATGAAATTTCCATCCTTAAAGCTCACCAGTGTGAAAGGTGTGCATGAGCAATCATGTAGACGAGAGATATTAAGGCTCAATTTAAAAAAACTTGAGGTTGAGATGTCCGAATCCTTCCTCATGCACTACATCTTGAATAGTCTTCCGCAAGAGTACGGACCTTTCAATATCTCGTACAAAACACATAAGGATAAATGGTCAATTAATAAATTAATAACTATGTGTGTTAAAAAAGAAGGAAAATTAATATAGGAACGAGGTGAAAGTGTAATGTTGACATTAAGAAATACAGTAATATTGGACATGCAAGTTCTTTTTCTTCCATTGGTGATGAAATTTGTAGAATCTCGATTTCTCGTAATTTTTCTTTTACCTGATTGTTCACTGCAAGTATTGGTGGGGAAAATCATTGCATCTACTAAAAGGATTAAACCCTTTTTCGAAACTGGTTAGTTGGAAATTACTTTTGTAAAACAAGTTCATATTCTACATTCCAAGAGTGCATCTATCATTCGTTGATGTAGGTGAACACCACAAGCAGGAAGAATGGAATTTTGAAAGAAACGAGCTAGATCTACAGAATTTTTTTCGCAGAAGTGCTCCAGAACTCTCACAGCAAGGGTGGGTGGGTGAATTTTTTGCCAATTTTTTATCACCACATAGGGGCCACTCGTATGAGTTCTCTGGCAGAACTTTGTGAAGTACAAGGGCTTCAGCCATTTTGAAATAATTAATATGAAAGTTTGGTTGCTATGTTAGTTTCAAAATTTAGTTAAAATCAAATAGTAATTTCAATCAACATTAATAATTACTATTCAAAATTTTTCACACATTTAATAAGATTCACTACTATTACCAACCATTTATATATTTGCCATATGGAAGTTAAGTTTTATTTTCCTATAGGTGGATTTATTTATTTTTAATTCTTCCAGACCATAAAACTATGTTTAATTTATGTCCACCAAAAAAACATGAATGTTACTAATTTCACCACACTTTTATAACTAATTTTTCTTTAAATTTTTGGAAGGGCATGCATTTTTATCGTAAGTCATCGTTATCTTAATTATTATTACTTCTTATCTTATTGGTTTATACATACTTTATTATTATTATTATTTTTTGGATAAAAGTTCACCTGTTTCATTGGGGTGAATTCCAAAGAACATTTTCGAACTTTTTTGGTGTTTAATGACATTTTTTCTATGAAATTCATTTTCCTTGTTTTTCTCACACATGTGCCATTTCTTTTTTGCACCTTTTTGTTGTTGTTGTTGTTGGTTTTTTTTTTTTTTTTTTTTTTTTTTTTTTTGAGTTTTTTTTTTTGTTTTTTTTTTTTTTTTTTTTTTTTTTTTTTGAGTTTTTTTTTTTGTTTTTTTTTTTTTTTTTTTTTTTTTTTTTTGAGTTTTTTTTTTTGTTTTTTTTTTTTTTTTTTTTTTTTTTTTTTGAGTTTTTTTTTTTGTTTTTTTTTTTTTTTTTTTTTTTTTTTTTTGAGTTTTTTTTTTTGTTTTTTTTTTTTTTTTTTTTTTTTTTTTTTGAGTTTTTTTTTTTGTTTTTTTTTTTTTTTTTTTTTTTTTTTTTTGAGTTTTTTTTTTTGTTTTTTTTTTTTTTTTTTTTTTTTTAATTTTTGGCAATGAGAACAAATTCTAGGAACAATTGTAAAAGAGGATATCCCCTTAAATTGACAATTTTCAAGTAAAACAAATAGATGATTTTTGAATTTTTTTTTCCAATTGAAACAAATTTTAGGACCAATTGTAGAAATGGATATCCCTTAAATTGACTATTTTCATTAAAAAAAAAAAATCAAACAAACACCAAAAGACACTTTTATTTTAATATTTTTTCAGGTGAAAAATTTTACCAATCAAACACTATTAATTAGTAATTCCCACTAAAACAAATTATAGGCAATTCAATTTTCTTCAATTCGTTTTCTTTTCACCTAAATTCTATTTTTGCGATCAAACGGACCCTTAATGTAAGTTGAGTAAGAAGCTCGGGTTTGAATAATATTTTTATTTTATTATATTAATAATAAATTTAAGTTTTTTTGCTTAAAATAATATATTCTTTAGGCACTATTCAACTAAGTTCACGTGTGGTGGAGATTTTTTCAAAATAGATTTTGTAAATTTTTTTTTTTTTGGGAAAACTTATGGTTAAAAGTAAGAAAAAAATAATGGATCCATGTATAAAAATAACTTACAGAGAGAATTAATCTGTTTGACAAAAAATATTTGAAAATTCTTTTTTACATATTTATTTTTAATCACATATTTACACAATAAAATATTTTGCACCTAAATTCAAATTTTTTTCCTACTTTTTAACCATATATTTAAAAAAAAATTATTTGGCCACAAGCCGCGTCATCCAGCAGGCAGCATAGTTTTGTACCGTCGATTAATTCTTTGCAACGGCTGATAAAATCTATCGACATTAGACGGGGATCACCATCCTACACCGTCGATAAGCACACCCAAAATCTAACGCTTTTCAAGTATTCTTTTCCTCTGTCTTTTCAAATATATAGCCCACCAAATCACACCATTACTCACACATCGCAAATCAAATCCGTTGAAATTTCACAATTCTCTCAGAAAAATGTCAGGAAGGGGCAAAGGCGGCAAGGGTTTGGGAAAGGGAGGTGCAAAGCGCCACCGTAAGGTGCTGAGGGATAACATTCAGGGTATCACGAAGCCAGCGATTAGGCGGTTGGCTCGCCGTGGAGGAGTAAAGCGTATCAGTGGTCTTATTTACGAGGAGACACGTGGTGTCCTCAAGATCTTCCTTGAGAATGTTATCCGTGATGCTGTGACCTACACTGAGCATGCTCGCCGTAAAACTGTGACGGCCATGGACGTTGTGTACGCCCTCAAGAGGCAGGGGAGGACGTTATATGGCTTTGGTGGTTAAATAGCTAGGTATGGTTGGAGAAATTGGGTTTGGGTGGTGGTGACGTTTTGTATAAATGTGGGATCTTGTTAGGGCAAGGATGCTGTATTAGGTTTTAAATGATTGTACTTTGATCTGTCTTAGATCCTTTGTCCGTTTCTTCAGTTAATGAAATTCTGTTTCTATTATTTTATATGAGCTTCATTATTCTATAGTGTTCTTATTTTCTCTAATTTTATAGATATTTCGTTGGGATAAAAATTGGACTCATTGGGGGTTCGTTTTTACCTTGGCTTTCGATTTGGCAGTACTGTTGATAACTAAGATGTTGGATTTGAATATAATACAAAGTTTTCAATCTCATAATTTTTTCCTGGACAAATTTTGGGACCTAAGATTTTAATGCTTTAATTGAGTTCAAATGTTTGAATTCTTGTAGTTCTTGGGCGGGCTCATTATTTACAATGCTGTTCTACTTGAATTAACTTTATTTTTCAGTTCTGTGGTAAATTTAGTTGGATCATTAATGATGCTTTTTAAAGTAGACATGTTTTTGTTACATTATACAAGTTTGGATGATCGAAGATGATGTCTCATGAGTTGTTTCTTAGTTCTGCTGGATGCGCTATGGGTAGGTTCAGAGTAAATATCCAACCTTTATTTGTGAAAGGAAAATTGTGCTTTAGAGATAGTGTGCTGTTGGATTGAGCTACTTATCCACATTGACAATTGTTTGATATCTATTGTACCAGAACAGGATGTCATTTTTACAGCTTGATTGATCGTTGTGGTCTTGGGAGTGCTGAGGATTGGTGAACTAAACTGGTAATTTTTATTCTTTGTTACTATAATGATTAATTGAAATGGTCGATCAATGTTTTAAAGTGATAATAGTTAAGATTGTTTTGTGAGTTGCTTTGCTTGTCCTTTAGTCCATTTCTTTCCAGTATTATGGCTGCTTCAACGAATGACACCGACGAGGTCATTTCTGGGTTGTTGCAGTTTCCAATTAACAATTCCAGTGATTCGGGCCAATGATCACCCATGATTGCTGTGTCATACTAGTGCCAGTATTATGGCTGCTTCAACGAATGACACCGGTGAGGTCATTTCTGGGTTGTTGCACTTTCCAATTAACAATTCCAGTGCTTCGGGCCAATGATCAATATTGGAGTTACAAACTAGTAAAGTGAGTGCGTATATATTTAGAGATATCTGCTAGTCCACTGAATGAAGCCGGGCAGCTTGACATGTATAAGGTATGAGTGGGGGTGATCACATCACTCAAACTATGGTTGTATATAGTAAGTCTCTTGGAGTAGGAATGTACTCATATATTTAACTATTTCCACTCGCATCTCCAATGGTTGCACTCCAATGCAATACCAAACTTTGCATAATTTTGGTGCAAAATATAAAATATTTCTTTTGCCTTTATTTAACATGTCCCAAATAAATTTTTTAAGGATATTTATGTCATTTGTACTATATATTTTTTAATACAATAAATTATTATTATTTTTATTAATATTAATATTAATTGCATATAAAATAAATTTTAAACGTAAGACATAATAATTAATAAATTAATTAAAAGACGAAAACAATTTAAAGTACAACAAATATGATTATTTATTAAAGTTAATACGAAATATATTCAACGACGACATACATACGATAATTTTATTTTATTTTAAAAAAAAGATACATAAAAAGTGCATATTTCAGTAATTTGGAAGACTGTTTTTAGATCCTCCAAAATTGTTAAAATAATTTTCAAACAAATCATATGAACTTTCAGATCTTTTATCTTCTTGTTGAGATTTCCTCTGGCAAATTCTTGCTTGTTCGTTTTGCAAGCACAAATGTACCTGTGGATCTATTATTGAACTTAAATTTGTCAACAAAATTTTATTCTCCTCATGATATTCTGTCATTTCTAATTTTTTTTTTGGATTCGTAATTCTGTTGTCTTTCCTCACTACCTTGTTTCATAATTTCGAGAATTTGTTGGTTCTCTTCTTGAATGGATGCAAGTAATTTTATACCTTCTTCTTCATTTTTTATTTTTGCTTTTGCTTTTTTACCCCTATGGGTCGTTCAGTAGAAGTATCGTCAACATTGTCTTCATTTATATTAAGAGAAAATGAGGTCAATCTAGGAAATGTTGAATGAGTTGACGTGTGGTCCTCCGATGACGAATTTGACTGTGATGATACAATGTTAACACGACCTTGCCTATGACAAATTGCTTTGGCCGCGTTAACGTTATCTCCAAATCAGAGATGAATTGTGGGGGTGGTGTGGGGTCCCCCCTTAGGCCCAATAACATTTGTTTTAAGGTGTTTTTAATTTTTTTGGTAAAAAACTAATTTTTTTTTGTGTAAATTTTTTTCCAGCGTAGTAGTCCAATTTGAAATTTGGTATGTCTTAGATCCAATCTTGGATCCGTCCCTGCTCCAGATTTTTTGGCATATTTAAGCATAGACCAGACATAATCAAATTTGAACCCTTTCTTGTAATTTGAGTTTTCAGATAATAGCATTTTGGCTCGAAACATCTACAAAACAAAGACAATGTAACATTAATCTAACAGAAACTTAACATTTGGAAGCATACATTACAAGTAATACTTACAATATCTTCTTCTAATACACCACTTGGTTTCAAAAGTTCGACTTGCCGAACGCATCCTTGCATTTTGATAATGGCGGCATTAATAACTTGCATTCACTTCATTAGAGATCTTTTCGACCGAATAAGAGTTATAAATGAAAAAAGTGTGGTATTGTATCCATTCTCCACTCAGGACCATAATTGCTCCATTGATTGGTATATACCTACCATTGGATCTCGAGAGATATTAAGATAGACTTGACTTAAGTGTTCATCTTTTTCACGTGAGTATGAAGAAGTTCATGGAACAGAACTCATTTTTGACGAAGAGGGGGGGGGGGGGTTATTGAGAAGGGTAGATGATATTAACTTGGGAAGTTTGAGAAATTGAAGGTAATGGTAAGCTAATTTATAGACAAAAAGGTAGGCAGGATAAGATTTGATTATATACGGATCGAACGGTTGAGATCTTGACGTAATTCAATCTAACGACGGAGATGAATTTGCCTAGATATCATATCTTTAATAGTGTACTATGAGATTTGATATTATATACGGATCGAACGGTTGAGATCTTGACGTAATCCAATCTAACGACGGAAATGAATTTGCCTAGATATCCTATCTTCAATAGTGTACTATGAGCTTTGATATTACATATGGATTGAACGGTTGAGATATTTATGTAATCCAATCCAACGATGAAGATGAATTTGCCTAGATATCCTATCTATTGTTGGAACAGGTATTCTTCAACAATAAAAGGCAGTATTGAGGTCGAGCAATCCTTATCTCTCAATCATACTACTCAAAAATGAATTTCAATATTGGAGGTCCCTCTTATGTGTTTGATTCAAATTCATCGTCATTGTCCGATGGAGAAAATGATAATGATTTTCTTGAAGAACGACAACAAGCTACTTGATCGGTATTAAATGGCATGCCTTAAGTGCACGGGTCGCGATCAAGTAGTATGATGGACCTTTTAAGTCCCAGTCGATTCCTCAGAGAGTGTTGTTTTCAGTTACGAGTGTATTTGTTTCAAATTAACGAAAAAGATACACACATTTAAAAGTTCGATTTTAAAAACTATAAAAAGGCGAAAACTCGATTTTGATTTAAAATATTTAAATAATACTTAAAAAGTGGAAAAGTTTGATTTTAAAAGATGTTGGAATTTATGATTTCGCTTAACCCTTTTCAAGCCAATTATGCGTCGATACAAATTACCAAAATGTGTGGTTAGACCCGATTTTCCAAAATTAGTCAATAACCTCTGTCGAGCGATATTAACCCTAATTGCTTGGCATTAACATATTTCTATGTCGTTCTAAACCAAATAACTGCATTCAATTTTTGTGAAAATAACTCAACGGGTCACATAGGGTAGGTATACATGTCTGGATACCTAAACGCGTATAGTCGAAACCATACAAACCTATGGTATATTATATTTCGGTCTATTATGTGCAACTATTTTTCAATAATTACACAGCTACCTAACCACAACATCTATTGACGTCAAATAAATGTAGTAATCTTAAATATGATAATTAATACACCAATATTTTGATAACAAATGCATATCTAACAACATATAACACGATATTAATGAAAATAGGTTAAGCTAATACATAAATTCCAACATAAACTTGTTTAGTTCATCATTCTAACAAAATAACAAAGAGATTCTCATAAACATATCATTACAAACATGAAGAACTAAATGAAAGGAATACAAAAGTTGAGATAAAACCCTTTTAAATACGAATTGTAATCCTTCAATGTATTCTTCAAGCTTTCCTTAATGATCTCCTTACTATATTCACTTGATTCCCAAAATAAAACTAAAATTAACAAAAGAAAATAAAACTAAAAGAAAAAAAACTAAGAAAAAGAGAGAGAGAGAGAGAGACCGAGAGAGATAGAGAGAAGAGTGAAAGAGTTGGGAAATTTTTTTTACCTACCAAGTTATATTAGTATATATATGGAATATCTATAAAATATAATATAAAAAAAAAAGATATTATTAGACACAACATAAATATCCTAAAAATATATAGCATAAAATAATGATAAAATAATAAAAAGGTTGACCAAAAAATCTCGAAATTGTAGATCAGGTCCTTCAACTTTCATTTAGTGCAATTTGGTCTTCAAAATTTGACTTTTATTACATTTAGGCCCTTCCATAATTGCACTTCAAGTCCTCAGCTTCACAATTTTGTTCAATTTAAGTCCTTTTCCTTATCTTTTCGCTCGTTATACTTCTTTCCGGGGTTTTAGCTTACAAAAGTAACAATTACACAATTATAAATAGAAATCTACTCAATTTTATCAATAATAAAGTCTCAAAAAGTGTTAAATAAGCGTGTAAAAACACACTTATCACACCCCCAAACTTAATTCACACATTGTCCTCAATGTGTAAATAACAAGCTAAAGTAAAGTGGAATAAGGAAACTTCCCTAAATAGCCATTCGTGAAGTGGAGCCAATGCATTTGCTGGACTTATGATGAACGTGAGTCACTTGGATCAAAGACTTCTTTGCACATGAATTGTTCCAGAACCTGGGA